TCTTCGATATCGGAGGTTGGCAGTGAAGATTCGGAGAAAGTAGCAGCTGTTAATTAATTCTTTAAGTTTCGATATCAGAGGTAATTCGGATAAAGCGACTGTTAAGTAATTCTTTACGTCTTCGACCGGTTGGCTGTGAAGATTCGGATAAAGTTTAAGTCTTCGATATCAGAGGTTGGCAGTGAAGATTCGGATAAAGTAGCGACTGTTAAGTAATTCTTTAAGTCTTCGATATCAGAGGTTGGCAATGAAGATTCGGATAAAGTAGCGACTGTTAAGTAATTCTTTTAAGGTATCAGAGGTTGGCGAAGATATCAGTGGAGGTTGGCAGTGAAGATTCGGAGAAAGTAGCAGCTGTTAAGTAATTCTTTAAGTCTTCGATATCAGAGGTTGGCAGTGAAGATTCGGAGAAAGTAGCAGCTGTTAAGTAATTCTTTAAGTCTTCGATATCAGAGGTTGGCAGTGAAGATTCGGATAAAGTAGCGACTGTTAAGTAATTCTTTAAGTCTTCGATATCAGAGGTTGGCAGTGAAGATTCGGAGAAAGTAGCAGCTGTTAAGTAATTCTTTAAGTCTTCGATATCAGAGGTTGGCAGTGAAGATTCGGAGAAAGTAGTTAAGTAATTCTTTAAGTCTTCGTTAAGTTGGCAATTCGTTAGGTCTTCGATATCAGAGGTTGGCAGTGAAGATTCGGAGAATGTAGCAGCTGTTAAGTAATTCTTTAAGTCTTCGATATCAGAGGTTGGCAGTGAAGATTTGGAAAAAGTAGCGACTGTTAAGTAATTCTTTAAGTCTTCGATATCAGAGGTTGGCAGTGAAGATTCGGAAAGTAAAAGTAGCGAGGTTGGCTGTTAAAAGTAGCAGCTCTTTAAGTCTTCGATATCAGAGGTTGGCAGTGAAGATTTGGAAAAAGTAGCGACTGTTAAGTAATTCTTTAAGTCTTCGATATCAGAGGTTGGCAGTGAAGATTCGGATAAAGTAGCGACTGTTAAGTAATTCTTTACGTCTTCGATATCAGAGGTTGGATTCGGATAAAGTGAAGAGGTTCGTATATAAAGTAGCAGCTGTTAAGTAATTCTTTCTTCGATATCAGAGGTCTTCGATATCAGAGGTTGGCAGTGAAGATTCGGATAAAGTAGCGACTGTTAAGTAATTCTTTAAGTCTTTAAGTCTTCGATATCAGAGGGCAGTTGATTCGGATAAAGTAGCAGTGAAGATTCGGATATCAGAGGTTGGCAGTGAGATTCGGAGTAGCAACTGTTAAGTAATTCTTTAAGTCAGAGGTTGGCTGAAGATTCGGATAAAGTCAGAGGATATCAGAGGTTGGCAGTGAAGATTCGGATAAAGTAGCGACTGTTAAGTAATTCTTTACGTCTTCGATATCAGAGGTTGGCAGTGAAGATTCGGATAAAGTAGCAGCTGTTAAGTAATTCTTTAAGTCTTCGATATCAGAGGTTGGCAGTGAAGATTCGGATAAAGTAGCGACTGTTAAGTAATTCTTTACGTCTTCGATATCAGAGGTTGGCAAGTTTGAAAAGATTCGGATAAAGGTTGGCAGCGACTGTTAAGTAATTCTTTAAGTCTTCGATATCAGAGGTTGGCAGTGAAGATTCGGATAAAGTAGCGACTGTTAAGTAATTCTTTAAGTCTTCGATATCAGAGGTTGGCAGTGAAGATTCGGATAAAGTAGCGACTGTTAAGTAATTCTTTACGTCTTCGATATCAGAGGTTGGCAGTGAAGATTCGGATAAAGTAGCAGCTGTTAAGTAATTCTTTAAGTCTTCGATATCAGAGGTTGGCAGTGATGATTCGGAGAAAGTAGCAGCTGTTAATTAATTCTTTAAGTCTTCGATATCAGAGGTTGGCAGTGAAGATTCGGATAAAGTAGCGACTGTTAAGTAATTCTTTACGTCTTCGATATCAGAGGTTGGCAGTGAAGATTCGGATAAAGTAGCAGCTGTTAAGTAATTCTTTAAGTCTTCGATATCAGAGGTTGGCAGTGAAGATTCGGATAAAGTAGCGACTGTTAAGTAATTCTTTAAGTCTTCGATATCAGAGGTTGGCAGTGAAGATTCGGAGAAAGTAGCAGCTGTTAAGTAATTCTTTAAGTCTTCGATATCAGAGGTTGGCAGTGAAGATTCGGAGAAAGTAGCAGCTGTTAAGTAATTCTTTAAGTCTTCGATATCAGAGGTTGGCAGTGAAGATTCGGAGAAAGTAGCAGCTGTTAAGTAATTCTTTAAGTCTTCGATATCAGAGGTTGGCAGTGAAGATTCGGAGAAAGTAGCGACTGTTAAGTAATTCGGATAAGTTTTAAGTCTTCGATATCAGAGGTTGGCAGTGAAGATTCGGATAAAGTTGCGACTGTTAAAGTAATTTAAGTAATTCTTTAAGTCTTCGATATCAGAGGTTGGCAGTGAAGATTCGGAGAAAGTAAGTAATTCTTTAAGTCTTCGATATCAGAGGTTGGCAGTGAAGATTCGGATAAAGTAGCGACTGTTAATTAATTCTTTAAGTCTTCGATATCAGAGGTTGGCAGTGAAGATTCGGATAAAGTTAGCTTTACCTTTATCAGAGGTTGGCAGTGAAGATTCGGAGAAAGTTTAAGTCTTCGATCTTCGATATCAGAGGTTGGCAGTGAAGATTCGGATAAAGTAGCGACTGTTAAGTAATTCTTTAAGTCTTCGATATCAGAGGTTGGCAGTGAAGATTCGGATAAAGTAGCGACTGTTAAGTAATTCTTTAGGTCTTCGATATCAGAGGTTGGCAGTGAAGATTCGGATAAAGTAGCAGCTGATTAAGTGAAGATTCGGATAAAGTAGCGACTAATTCTTTAAGTCTTCGATATCAGAGGTTGGCAGTGAAGATTCGGATAAAGTAGCGACTGTTAAGTAATTCTTTACGTCTTCGATATCAGAGGTTGGCAGTGAAGATACGGAGAAAGTAGCAGCTGTTAAGTAATTCTTTAAGTCTTCGATATCAGAGGTTGGCAATTTGTTAAGTAATTTAAGTCTTCGATATCAGAGGTTGGCAGTGAAGATATTTTGGGAGAAAAAACAAAACGGCTGCCTTTATACACGTCGGATTGAATATTTTGAGTTCTTCTGATTGTTTAACCCTTCTACTAAATTTTAGGAAAAAAAAAAAAAAAAAAAACGGAAACGCAATCCCGAACGGAAAGTAAGATATAAACCTCTACTCCTATTCCAAAGACTATGGAGGAATGTGAACAGGGCGATAAGCGAACCTATCTATTCCTGCTGAGGTAAAATAACTAAATATTAGATACAATTTCAGAGTTAAGATTTTAGCTTTAGAAGTGTTGATCTGAATTAGACTTTAGGAAAAAAAAAAAAAAAACGGAAATCCAAACCTAAAAAGAAAACAAGGTATGAACATCTACTCCTGTTTAAAAGACTGGGGAGAAGTGTGAACCGGACGATATGAGTTAGCTCATTTTGACTGGCTCACTAGTACAGGCTACCCAAAGATTCTAACAGGAGTCAGATACTCACTGGAGCAGTACACAATCGACCATTGTACCAGTATCTTTAGCCTACTACATATCTATAAGTCTACCTTTCGTCTATGCTTTAAATATTGCTGTCACATATGGTCACGTGTCCCTGCTATTTACCTTGAATTCCTTGGTACAATCCAAAGAGGAATCGGCAATATTATTGGTTCTGATCTGGCGGCTCTGTTCTAGTCACTGTGTCTTTTCTATAAACATTTCATTGTAATTGTTCGGATCAGTTCTTTGTTGGAATCGTAACGAGTTCGAAATGTGGAATCGACGTGCCGAGATCAAATCCGGTTTAAACCTTTCGGTCCACATCACATGAATTCCTTTAGGAAAGGCATGAATCGATCTTTTTTTTTGCCAACTCCGGATTGAGGTAAATAGCAGAGTTGCTTTGGTTGGTAACTTGTCTAGCAGACCAACAACACTGGCATGACACGTAGAACTAGAACAATCTACTCCAGGTTAGTGCACCAATATCTTTCCAAAGACGTCACGCCAATTGACAAGAAATAAAGAAAAGACTTCTGTGGTGGTGTGGGGGACATGATGTCGGCATTTTAATAAATAATCGAATCAACCAACCGGAATATCACCCGAGGACAGAGGGGTGAAATACACGTTGACCAGCTTATAAAATTGGGTTTTAACTTTAAATGGTAACGAAACTCTTTTTTCCCCATACAAAATCATGTATATTCAGCTCCTTAAACGCCGCTGTTGTTTTTTTTTTTCATTAAATAAATAGCCTTGAACTTTAAGTGTTACGCATTATTGAAAAGCAATTCGACATTTGAAGTGAGGATGGCCATGAAGAGATTTCAATTGCATTCATTTCATATATATATATATATATATATATATATATATATATATATATAGAGAGAGAGAGAGAGAGAGAGAGAGAGAAATCTGTGCCTCTTCTGTTTCTTTCTATCCATCAATCGAACTCTTATGATATAGAATTGATTTAAATTTGAATAAATAAATATCGCTGATTTAATCACAATGAAAGAAAATATACTTTTACGGAAAGAGAAAAGCCCATGTTATTATTTTTTTATGTACATATGGCGATTTTCTAAGCTTAGCTTAGATGCGAAACAAGGACGAAAGTATGGGGCACCCAGTGAGGAACGAACACACTACTCAGTCGTAAATGATTTAGCGACACAAGCTTGGTAACAATGTCGGAGTGCCCATTATCTATCTACATAAGCCTCTTAAATCTCTTTATATCTATCTATCTATCTATCTATCTATCTATCTATCTATCTCAGTTTTGTAAGATATCTCTTTGTTTCAGGGGATCATATCTATCTAGCTATCTAGCTATGTCAACCTCTTCGTTATCTATCTATCTATCTATCTATCTATCTATCTCAGTTTTAATTGGTATCTCTTTGAATCAGTTGGCTCATATCTGTCTATCTATCTACCTAGCTAGCTAGCGAGATAGAAAGCTAGATAGATAGACAGCTATGGCAGTCGCATCTTTTTCTATCTATCTATCTATCTATCTATCTATCTATCTTAGTTTTGATTGGTATCTCTTTGTATCTGTTGGCTTATATCTGTCTATCTATCTATCTAGCTAGCTAGATAGATGATCTATATAACCTATCTATCTATCTATCTATCTATCTATCTATCTCTAAGTTTTGTTTGGTATCTCTTTGTATCTGTTGGCTTATATCTATCTATCTAGCTGTCAGCCCCTTCTTTATCTATCTATCTATCTATCTATCTATCTATCTATCTATCTATCTATCGTACTTTCTTTCTTTCTTTCTTTTAAGTAGTTCTTCTCTGTCAATTGCATATTTCTATTTTGACCTAGAAATACGTTTTAATATAAAACACGAAATTAATTTAATCAGACTAAGATGCATTTAAAGCGTCATCTTCTACGCGTACTCTATGTTTAATATACGGCCGGGCTATTTCAATGTATCGCCCATTCTTACTGCATTAATACTGAAGCAATATGCCAAACGTAAATATTGAAAAAATAAAGTAAGAATAGAATTCTTTAAATCGAATTCCTATAACGAGACCGGTAATCTAAACATTACGCATTTACAGCCTTAACAAGAAATACGTTCTGTCTCGCTCATGTAGAAAAACAGTTTTTCTGCTCTTATCTATCTATCTATCTATCTATCTATCTATCTATCTATCTATTTAGCTATAATTTCTTTCTTTGTTTGCTCCTGGATATTTTTCTTTCTTTCTTTCTTTCTTTCTTTCTTTCTTTCTTTGTCTGCTCCTATCTATCTATCTATCTATCTATCTATCTATCTATCTATCTATCTATCTATCTATCTCTTTGTTGCTTTCTTTCTTTCTGTCTTTTTCTGTTCCTATCTATCTATCTATTTGTCTATCTATTTGTCTATCATTTCTTTCTTTCTTTGCACATGTATATTTTTCTTTCTTTATCTGCTCCTATCTATCTATCTATCTATCTATCTATCTATCAATCTATCTATCTATCTATCTATCTATTGCTTTGTTGTTTTCTTTCTTTCTTAATTTCTTTTTATGCTTTTATCTATCTATCTATCTAGCTAGCTAGCTATCATTTTTCTTTGTTTGTTCATGTATATTTTCTTTCTTTCTTTCTTTTTCTTTCTTTCTTTCTTTCTTTCTTTCTTTCTTTCTTTCTCTGCTCCTATCTATCTATCTATCTATCTATCTATCTATCTATCTATCTATCAGTCATGACATACAATCGGTTCGAATTTGAATAAATATCGCTGATTTAATCACAATGAAAGAAAATTTACTTTTACCGAAAGAGAAATGTACATGTTAATTTTCTTTCAATTTATACATCTTCATAGAAATGGAAATGAAATACTCGAATCTTCTGATGCGTAAATTTATGATGGAAAAGTTTTCGTTCAATTAAACTGATTAATAACAACAGCAGTAATAAAACTAACAATAATCCCTTTTTTTATGAGCTTCCAGAATCCAACTGTGAAGATTCTGGAAGAATTTAAGGAGAAAGAATTTACCATTTATAATTATGGCACATTATATTGAACGAGAAGAAGTTTAAAAAAAAAAATTCGATGTTTCCTTTCACGCCAATTAGAAGCGAATGTTTCCACAATGTTGCATGGTTTTATTTTACTTTTTGTAACACGTGAATATTGTTAATTTCTAAAGAATTGCTTCGAGCCTTTCGTATCGTTCAAGGCTTTCAACCTAAGAAAATTCACAGCCATGCAGGAGTAAAGCCTCAAAGTTGCATTAAAATTATGTCTTATATTTTGACGGATACGCAACTCTGTAAAATAAACGAAAAAAAAATGATTAAAATAAAAATGAAGAAGAAACAATATAACGAAAAAAAACGTAAGAGGTTCAAATACTAAAATACATTCAATACATGTTTCGATGTCAATGATTCCTTTTTCTTTTATCAGTTCACCCCGAGGAAGGGGACAATGCTACTAAGACGCAAGGGACTATTGGGAATAAAAGAGAATGGAAAGAGCTCATATTGAACCGGCAACCTAAAAAAAAGTGACCATTTTATACTTGTACAAAAGCCCGAGAACGGGTCTGAAGAACACGAGAGACAAATGTATCTACTTGTATTTGAGGTAAATAAATAAATAATAGACAAAATGACATAGTTTAAGCAGAGACGTCAGAAGTCGAGAGTTGAACTAAATTTAAAAAAAACAAAACAAAAAAAACGGAAACGCAATCCCGAACGGAAAGTAAGGTATGAACCTCTACTCCTATTCAAAAGACTATGGAGGAGTGTGAACCGGACGATAAGCGAACCTATCTATTCCTGTTGAGGTAAAATAAATAAATATTAGATACAATTTCAGAGTTAAGATTTTAGCTTTAGAAGTGTTGATCTGAATTAGGCTTTAGGAAAAAAAAAAAAAAACGGAAATCCAAACCTAAAAAGAAAACAAGGGATGAACATCTACTCCTGTTTAAAAGACTGGGGAGAAGTGTGAACCGGACGATAAGCGAACCTTTCTACTGCCATTAATTTACACTTAAAATGGCAATGGTAAATGAATTATATGGTATGAATGATAAATGGTAGAAAGTGAAGATTATGAGGATGAATATGATCGAGAAAGTTTGACAATTGATACAAATAGATTAAAAGACGCAACCACGTGGGGATGGTTGAAAATGGCAAGTCTGCGGGGAACCCTATTTACAAATTGAACACGGTGGAAATCAGGGTGATTCTTCTGCTTGGTAGATAGATAGATAGATAGATAGATAGATAGATAGATAGATAGATAGATAGATAGATAGATAGATAGATAGATAGATAGATAGATATGGACATAGAAAATAGATAGATAAATAGATAGAAAATAGATAGATAGATAGATAGATAGATATAGATAGATAGATAGATAAAAGGATAAAAAGAAAGAAAATAACAAAAATAGATAGATAGATAGATAGATAGATAGATAGATAGATAGATAGATAGATAGATAGATAAAAGAAAGAAAATACATGAAAAGAAAGAAAGAAAGAAAAAATAGATAGACAAATAGATAGATAGATAGGAACAAAAAAAGACAAAAGAAAGATAGAACAAAGATAGATAGACAGATAGATAGATAGATAGATAGATAGGAGCAGATAAAGAAAGAAAGAGAAAAAATACATGTGCAAAGAAATAGAAATAGAAATAGATAGATAAATAGATAGATAGATAGATAGATGGATAAGAGCAACATAGATAGATAGATTTAGATAGATAGATAGATAGAAGATAGAAAAGAGTAAAAAAGAAAGATAGATAGAGCATAAAAATAGATAGATAGAAAGGAGAGACATAGATAGATAGATAGATAGATAGATAGATAGATAGATAGATAGGGAGCAGACAAAGATAAGATAGTTAAAGAAATAGAAAAGGAGAAAATCTAGATAGGAGATAACAAAGAAAGAAATTATAGCTAAATAGATAGATAGATAGATAGATAGATAGTTAGATAGATAGATAAGAGCAGACATAGATAGATAGATAGATAGATAGATAGATAGATAGATATGGATTGAGTAAAATAGCGTGATAGATAGGAACATAGATAGATAGATAGATAGATAGATAGATAGATAGATAGATAGATAGATAGATAGATAGAAAGGAGACATAGATGGATAGATAGATAGATAGATAGATAGATAGATAGATATGGACAGACTAAAATAGATAGTAGATAGATAGATAGAAAAGAAGACATAGATAAATAGATAGATAGATAGATAGATAGATAGATAGATAGATAGATAGATAGATAGATAGATAGATAGATAGATAGATAGATATGGACAGAGTAAAATAGAGTGATAGATAGGAACATAGTAAAATAGATAGATAGATAGATAGATAGATAGATAGATAGATAGATAGAAAAGAGCAGACATAGATAGATAGATAGATAGATAGATAGATAGATAGATAGATAGATAATGGATAGTAAAATAGATATATAGATAGATAGATAGATAGATAGATAGATAGATAGATAGGAGCAGACATAGATAGATAGATAGATAGATAGATAAGAGCATAGTAAAATAGATAGATAGACAGATAGATAGGAGCAGACATAGATAGATAGATAGATAGATAGATAGATAGATAGATAGATAGATAGATGTAAAGGTCTGTACTAGAGGAACTAAATGAACGGAGCTCATCTGAACACAAGCGACAGAGTAGAGTGAAGCAGTTTGCAGAGATAAGAATAGTTTCTTTCCCACGACAAGACTGCGTAAGCGATTTTGAGCTGGCCACTGAGTGGCTATTAAATGAAATTATCCACCAATGAGAGAAAGAAGAAAACAAACAGAAACAATCAAGAGTCCTATGTGTAGAAAAAAAAGTAATGAGACGAAAAATTTTATAAAAACGTTTGAAAGCTAGAATGTGTCACAGAAAAAGGAAGGTAGTATGTGACTCATCTCAACTGCTGGTTTTCAGAGAAATTAGATGCATCAGCGGGTTGATGACCTCGTAGTCTCCAAGAACGGATCAGCTACCCGTTAGACGTTAGTGGCATCCAGCGACAATCATATGATCGACCCAGCTGCACCTAAGATATGAAAAACGAAAGCTAAATACGAAACGTTGGAAGATGCTCTATCAGAGATAGATATATAAACACCCACCATAGAGGGAGAAGAAAGATTGTCTTCAATGTCATGGCAAGAGTGGGTCCCATAGTCGCCCAACCAATAGCCTAGTGTAGATTGGGAAAATATTTGTAGGTTGATTAAAATGTGATGTTACGTATGAAAGATTAGGTCTTGTGTTTTCATTTGGAATGAACGTCGATGACACGGAATGAATGGACGAAAAAAGAAACGACAAAAAGGAAAAAAAAGAGAAAAATGAAAGAGATGCATTGTAAAATACAGATACAGATAATCAGCCATTTTTTTTTTTTATTTTCTATTCCTTTAAATCATTCGTGTCCGTTGGGGGAAAAACTTCAAGTCAGAATTACGCGCGTTATTTTTATCATGGTTAAAACAGATTCGTTTTAATTTAAATTAATTTTAATTAATGCTAAATTACCTTCAGTAATTAGACCATATGTAAACAAACATTTGAAGCAATCATTGTTTTATTGTTTGATTCGGATTTCCGGAATTTCTATTAATGGAATTTTCGATTATAATTTTATTCGTTGGAAAAATATCTCTTGGCCGACTTGGCGGCCATACTATTAACGGTTGACAATACAAAATCGATAACTATCCTTTCTTCGTAATGTTATTGCTTTTTCTGTTTCTCTTAGCCTCCATAATCCTTTACTACTGTCTGCAATGACGCCATTGTCTGTATCGTTACACCAGCGGTTTTTAGCAACTTTAACCAGAGATCAATCGACCATATGGCTCCTAGAATATACACCAAACTTCCTATTGTTTTACTTGGTTTCGATAATATTTTGTTTACAAAAATATTCACCCTGTACAATATCCAAGAGCCCCTCGAGGTAGAAGGTTACAGAATAAGAGGCAGAGTGTATGAGGATATGTGCGGAAGTTAACGGTTAATCCTAGATTTGAACAGGTTGAAATCGGGGAAGCAGTTCGTCAAAGCAGCGGTTAGTGGGAAGACGCTGTTCGAGTGGAACTTACATCTTAATAATGGAATACGTAGAGAATAACGGTGGTTCGCTGCAATGGGTTATGGCGGGTCTTAGTCGTGAAGTTTAAAACTGATGGAACTAAGCGTTGCTTCAAATATTTGTTTATTTATGAACTAATTACTTGTAGAAAAATCACGCGGTAGAGATAAACACTCAGTTGTGGAGCAAGCTAAGTGAATAATAATCCAACCTTTAGAAAGAGAGCTATTTATGTTGCCATGGAGCATCTCATTGTGCTAAAGTGGGATAGTCCATTGCTTGGGCTGTGATTGGCTGCTGGTACCTGAGTGGAGGTATTTCTATATAAATACCAGCTTGATTCATCAGTTAGTTTGCAGGGTTTGTATTAAGTTACAACCTGCTTTATTTTTGTCTGCCAGCTGGACGCTAGCTGGGACCTTTACGCCGGTAAGTACTGTTTATTATTGTTATTCTACATTACTGAAGTTAATTTATCATTAATTAAAATTTAAATTAAAACGGATCTGTTTCCGGTCTGTTTTAACCATGATAAAAATAACACGCGCAATTATTTTCCCCTGCTATGACGTGAAGGCAGTTTTTCTTCTCCCTCTATGGTGGGTGTTTATATATCTGCCTATGTTAGAGCATCTTCCAACGTTTCGTTTTTAGTTTTTGTTTTTCATATCTTAGGTGCAGCTGGAAGCCACTGACGTCTAACGGGTAGCTGATCCGTTTTTGGAGACTATGAGATCATCAGCCCGCCGATGCATCTAATTTCTTTGAAAGCCAGCATTTGAGATGAGTCCCATACTACAATTTCTTTCTTTTTTCTGTGACACATTCTAGCTTTCAAACCACAAAGATACGGAGACGATTTTGACCTATATCAAGACTGGAAAATGAATACTTGGTAGGTTATACCCATATATGGCTGCAGTAATTAATATTCGGCCTAAAGGGAGGGGAATAGCAGAAGGAGTCAGGTAATCACTGGAGCAGTACAAAATCGACCATTTTACCAGTATCTTTAGCCTTTGAATCGTATGTACGAGTTCCACGAGGTCTTGGTTGATCTTAAGTTTTAATATTCTCTCAAGGCACGCCGCCTCCCTGACTGTTATATAGGAATGAAGTGTCGCTGACGTCACTGGAGTTTTAACACAGATGACCAGGAAGCAATCTCGAGCTAGTCTTCTCTCCTAGATTGGGTGTTTCTTTTGACTTTCAAAGTCTGAGAGAATTTTATCTTAATGATTCATAATAACCAAATACCCGCCCAGAAAATTTGAAACCTTTGTCATGCCAAGTGTTATGGTCCGATTCCTTGTACCACGGTGATAGTCCAAGGTAGAACCAATAAAGAAGAACTCGAACACAGGTATGGAATAACACGGATATATTACAAACAGGAATATATACAGAGAAGTAGAAAGTGTTGTTCTGAACAATCAGGTTTAGTAGAGAGAACAATGTAGTCTCGACCAGTATCACTATTCCAATGTCTTGCAGTAATTGTCTGAACGCGACTCTGTTTCGGACTGCCTGTGACTCGACTCTTGACTCGACTTGAACTACTGATTCAACTTGAACTACTCACTGACTATATTTTTTTACTTACGCTCCCAAGTGGGCACGATGAGGCACAAGACCGGTTTAACATGGGTTCTCCGAGCCCGTGGGCTTGGCCCAAAAATATACCCATTGAACCCGTATAAACGGGTTCAGGGCCGGTTTACCTCCCCGAAAGAGAATCCGCCATTCGGCGTAGCATCCTTCAGGATCCTCCCAGCCCGAAGGCAGAGAGTTCAACCAAACAGCCGGTCGACCGACATCGACTGACTGACGATATTCAGTCACCCACCGACCGGGGCATTATGTGGCACAAGGCCGGTTATTTAATGTGGGATCTCCGAACCCGCGAGCTCGGCCAAAAAAATATGCCCATTGAGCCCGTATGTACGGGTTCAGGGCCGGTTTACCTCCTTGAAAGAGACTCCGCCATTCGGTGTAGCCTCCTTCGAGTTCGTTCCCGCCCGAAGGCATTGAGTTCACCCGAACAGCCGGTCAAGACTTGAGCAATTGACTGACGATATTCAGTCACCACCCACCACACTGGGGCATCATGTGGCACAAAGCCGGTTATTTTAATGTGGAATCTCAGAGCCCGTGAGCTCGGCCAAAAATTAGCCAACTGAACCCGTATAAACGGGTTCAGGGTCGGTTTACCTCCTCGGAAGCGACTACGCCCTTCGGCGTAGCGTCCTTCGGGTTCCATCCCGCCCGAAGGCAAAGAGTCCAACTGAACAGCCGGTCAGGAGGTGAACGACTGACAGACGATTTTCAGTCACCCCCCCCCACACACACACACACTGGGGCAGCATGTGACACAAGGTTGGTTATTTATCCTGGACTCACCGAGCCCGTAGGCTCGGCCCCAAAATATTCCCATTGAACCCGTATAAACTGGCTCAGAGCCGGTTTACCTCCCCGAACGAGACTCCGCCCCTCGGCGTATCTTCGTTCAGGTTCGTATCCGCCCGAAGTCAGAGAGTTCGACCGAACAGTCGGTCAAGAGTTGAGCGACTGACTGACGATATTCAGTCACCCCTCCCACTGGGGCGTCATGTGGCACAAGGGCGTTTTGAATGTGGGATTTCCGAGCCCGTGTGCTCGGCCCAAAAATATGCCCATAGAACCCGTATAAACGGCTTCAGGGCCGGTTTACCTCCTTGAAATAGACTCCGCAATTCGGCGTAGCCTCCTTCAGGTTCCTCCCCGCCCGAAGACAGAGAGTCCAACCGAACAGCCGGTTAGGAGGTGAACGACTGACTGACGATATTCAGTCACATCCCCCTCCCCCACTGGGTTATCATGTGGCAGAAGGCCGGTTATTTAATATGGGATCTCCGAGCCCCTGGGCTCGGGCCAAAAAATATGCCCATTGAACCCGTATAAACGGGTTCAGGGCCGGTTTATCTCCCCTAAGGAGACTCCGCCCCTCGGCGTAACCTCGTTCGGGTTCCTCTCCGCCCGAAGGCAGAGAGTTCAACCGAACAGTCGCTCAGAAAGTGAAGAGAGTTTAACCAAACAGTCCGTTCAGAAGTGAATGACTGACTTCAGAAGTGAACGACTGACGATATTCAGTCACCCCCCCCCCCGACGAGGGTGTCATGTGGCACAAGGCCTTTTTAACGTGGGCATTCTGGCTCGGCCAAAAATATACCCATTGAACCCGTATAAACGGGTTCAGGGTCGGTTTTACCTCCTCCTTCGAGTTCCTCTCCGTCCGTAGACAGAGAGTTGAACCGTACTGTCGCTCAGAAAGTGAGCGTCTGACAGTATTCAGTCTCCCCCCACTGGGGCAACATGTGACACAAGGTCGGTTATTTATTGTGGGTTTCCCGAGCCTGTGGGCTCGGCCTAAAAATATGCCCAATGAACCCGTATAAACGGGTTCCGGGATGGTTTTACCTCCCCGAAGGAGACTCCGCCCTTCGGCGTAGCCTCCTTCGGGTTCCTCTCCGTCCGTAGACAGAGAGTTGAACCGAACAGTCGCTCAGAAAGTGAGCGACGGACTCCTTGCCTACTCCTGAGGCATTAATTATTATTTATTAAGTATGGAATAGTCCATTATTATTATTATGGGTAAGATTCCATAACACCAAGTTTATTCTTCTCAATTTTCTATGCTAAAAAAACATTGGCTATTCGATTTATAGTTAATCTCCTCTCATCTATGACCATGTGATGAAAACGACCAATGCTTTCCTCGGTGGTGGCAATACATTTAACAATTTCCGCGTTAAGCGTAACACGGATTTTCTGCTCACGTAACGCTAGAGAAGACTTTGCCGGAAACATAGTAACCAAAACAGCAAAGACGAGGATACTAGTGTGATAAACTTCAAGGAAAAATAATGATGTGTGAATCAGAAATTCTGTCAGCTCAAGGAAGGCCGGTTGAACGCAACGTCCAAAGCGTAGTGAACAGAACAACAAAGATGAGGAGACATATCTCAAATGATTCGGGGAATTTATGCCGAGTCTCACGTCATTCGCGTTACGACGAGATCGTTCACCTGCATTATGCAGAGAGACCTACTTATTGACAATTTGGTCAAGATCCACACTTGAGATTCTGTTAGCTGGATACGCCACAGTTCTATTGTACATCATTCTTGTTGAGGAAATCAAGAGGTAGCAACAGATGCAAATAAAACAGGCCACCAGAATCAGATTTTCTCCAATGTGTACCTACAGAGGCTTTGAAATAGAAAGAATCAT